CACTCCCTCCTCCATTATGTTCCCTCCCCACACTCCCTCCTTCGATTATGCTCCCTCCCCACACTCCCTCCTCCAATATGCTCCCTACCCTCACTCCCTCCTCCATTATGTTCCCTCCCCACACTTTCTCCCTCCATTATGCTCCCTCCCCACATTCCCTCCCTTGATTATGCTCCCATCCCACACTCCCTCCTCCATTATGCTCCTTCCCCACACTCCCTCCCTTGATTATGCTCCCTGGCCAATTCCCCCCCCCCTCCCCCGCCGCCACCTGTGTTCTCTGGACTGTACTCTCTGCCTCCACGGGCAGTTTTGTGCCTAAACTACTTTTTTCTCCTAAGTGCAGTGTGTATTTCCTTGTTCACTGGACCATTACTTGGTTTTCTTCTTTTTCAATCATAGTTCAGTCTTCCTGACATTGAAAATAAATCTTCACTGAATTTGCTCTTTCTCCAGTACTTTCCAGGTCTCTCTTTCTTCTTGTGTCCACCGTGTTTATCGCATCTTTATCTCCACTGGCACAGCCTCCCTGTTCCTCTCAGCCCCTGAAGCCCACGCTGCCTCTGGAAGTCTCTGATTGAGGCCCATTCTGACCCCACCTTCCTTTGTTTATCAATTTCTCCTTAAGACCCTCTGAGCATGTCATGCAGCGCTTTTCTAAGTCTTTTCTGGTTTTTCCTCAGCTGGGTCTTCTGGGCCTTTCTTCTTCTTTCTCCGCCCCCCCCCCCTCGCCCCCGGGGATGCATGCCTCAGTAATCAGAGCTGACATTGTTGAGTACCTGCTGTGCATTTTAACCCCTCACCCTGTAAACTGGGCACTTCATCTCATTTGTACAAGAACAGGTAGGTGTCAAATTCTGGTCTGCTCTGCCTGGAGTCCATGCCCTGCTCTATGACCAGACTGCTCATCACCCAAAGCCTTGGTCTCTGACTCAGTCCCCTGTTCTCCTGTCGTTGCCATTCTGCCTGTCCCACCAGGCATCAAACCCCAAAGGTGTTGTACTGATTCGCTCACTACCTTCCCCTCCTGCCAGCTCTCCTTTCTGACTTCTCTGACGGAAACACCATTTTCCCAGGACCAAGGTGACCCCTAGAACTGTCTTTTTTCTTTTTTTTCTTTCTTTTTATCTGAACAATAATTTATTTTAAAAAAATTGGCAAGAGATTTCAACAGACATTTCACCAAAGATATGTGAATGACAAGTACACAATGAAAAAATGCTCAACATTATAAGTCTTAAAATAGGCAAATTAAAACCACAATGAGATACAGCTTCATACCTACTAAAATGGTAAAATTTTAAAAAGCTGACCATACCAAGTAATGACAAGAATGTGAAAGAACTATAACTCTTATACACAGCTGGTGGGAACGTAAAATGGTATAGCCACTTTGAAAAACAGTTTAGCAGTTGTTTAAATTGTTAAACATACACTTACCATGACTGCTCAGTCATTCCACTCCCAAGAGAAATAAGCATATGTCCACACAAAAGCTTGCACAGAAATATTCATAACAGCTTTATTGGGAGAGCGGTGGGGTGGGCGCCAGGGCACCATGAGGACACTTGGAGCTGAGGTAAGTACAGTCTCTTAATCGCAAAGATGATTGATTTGGTGCATGTGTCAACGCCGATCGCATCGTACTCTTGAAGTGTGTGCAGCTTATTGCATGCCAAGTATATCTTGGTAAAGCTTTTGAAGATATTAATGGGCTCCACATTTTAGGGATTCTGGCACAACTATTGTTTTCCATCTTCAGATACTAATTATACTTTGGTAAAAGTACTTTAGAACTTTATTTTTAAAGTAGCAGGAAGGAAACTAAAAGTTATCAACATTGCTCATTAAAAAACTATGTTGTATACTTTAAGAAAAAGTACAAGTAAAAATGAAGAATTCTCAGTCAGTAACTAAAACCAAACCTGACATCATTCTCACCCACAAATGGAACCCTCACCGCCCGTCCCCGGGAGGGTGCCGTCTGCCTGTGCCCTTCGGGGCCCAGGAGCGGGACCCTCGGGCTCTGAGAGCTGCACCACCGTCTCCAGTTGTTCTCCAAGCTCCTCTATCAGAGGCCCGGCTCCCACAGGGGCCCGCGCAGAGGCCAGTAGCTCTCCCCGACAGGCATCAGCCCTCGGGACGGCCAAGCGTCCGCACAGCCCATGGCCATCAACACGCAGGGCGCGGCTTTCGTCAAGAACGGGGCCTTGCAAGGATCGACCTCTCCAGGCTCCTGGTGTTGGCCTGGAGGCGGGGCAGGCTGCTTCTTCCTCACAGACGAGCAGTGCAGCTGCCTCCAGCTCATTCACTTCCAACCCCAGCTGGGCCTTCGTCAGGGGGGCTTCCTTCAAGGCTTCTGCAAGAGCTGCCAACCTTGTGGACTTGGCTTTCTGAATCCACACACAGTAGTCCGAGATATAGAGATCATTTAGAATGTAAGCTTGGTCACTTTCCTGAAAAATTTTGTGACTATCCAGGAGACACTTTAAAGCTGCACTTTTACCTAGCTGCAATATCTTCATCGTGTCTCTGCAGGCTTTCGTCACCAGCTTGAAACGGCGGTGAAGTGGGTAGCACAACACTCTTCTTCCAAAAGACACCAGGACTTCACGAACATTAGTCCAAGCCTCAAACCAGCACAGTGTGGGACTCAGTTTTCTGACATTCCACGCAGACTCAGCGTTCTTCTCTCCTTCATTGACACGAGTCTCATAGCAATAGGCCAGAAGGATATCAGTCAGACTATAGTACACTTGACGTTGGGCTCTTTTGTCCAGCAGATAAGACTTATGGACAAATTTTCGCAGCTGACACTTCTCTTCTTCAGAGAAAGATACTAAAGCAGCATGATTTTCTTTCTCCTGCCTCTTTCCCATAAAGGCCATCATCTTTGAATACGTATCAGTCCACCAAGGATTATACTGTAAAACCTGTTCAACTGCCTCATCTTCAAAAAAGTCGGCTAGATAATGATCAGGATCAAATTTGGCCAGCTCAGCAGCCAGGCGTTTCTGCCTGAGTTCAGCTGCAGGAGTAAAATCTGGATCCTTAACATCAATGACGTCACTGAATTCATCCTGTAACCGCTGAAATACTCCAAATCCATAGTGGCCTTGCGGGTGCAGAGCACTTTCTGACACCTCTTCATAGGGGGACTGTTCAATTTCCCAATCAAAGTCTTCATCATCATCTTCTACTCCTTCCTCAGAAACCTCAGAAGCACCTATTTCCTCCACAAGTGGTTTTGCAGTCCTGGATTTTCTTGGTGCCAGAAGCGTAGTTAACATGTTCAGCCCCTCAAAATGCTGACCAGGAGTTTCTTTGGGCAACTGAATGGTAAAAATTCCTTTATCTGCATCATAGGACCCTTTTTCACTTCCATTTTCTACAATTCTCCCGGGAAGAGTTAATCTGAGGAAGTACGGCTTGGCGAAGAACCTGAAGTCGAAGCCCTGGAAGTAGACGTCGAACTCCGAGACCCGAGCGTGGGGCACGCGGATGGCGACGGTCAGGAAGTCGGGGTCCTGGCTGAGGTCAAACGCCGCCGGTGTGAGCATCGCCGCGGCCCCACTCAGACCCTCGAGAAATCTTCGCTCGCCGGCACCGTTCCGTTCTAGAACTGTCTTTTTTTCTTAGCTCACCTTGCTCAGCCCTTCATCCTATTGGACATAAAACCTCGAGTATATTTTGTTGTGGCAGAATGCACGGGAGAATGACCAGCAAGCTCTGAGGGAGGAAAGTTTAACCTTTATTTCCCAGATCGGCTAGTCCAGGGGAATTCCGGATCCAAAGCTCTGACCTATATATCACCTCCTGAGGCGGCCCCTGAGGGTGCCCGCAGCTCCGCCCAAGTCAGTCAGAGTGGGGAAGGAAGACTACAATTTTAACCAGATACTGAACTAGGTTGCAAGCCCCTCCCACCCCCATTTTCCTTTTCAACTTCTTTTATAATGTCTCTTGATTTATTTCAGTCTCACTCCTGTCCCTTAATACAGACCATTAAATGGTCCCTTGTTGAAGAAATCACAGTATCCTGATATTCTCTTATCTGACTCCTGCTGTTGGTACCTACTTAGCTTGTTGTATTCTACTTTTTAAAAAATACATTTTTATTGATTTCAGAGAGGACGGGAGGGGGGAGAGAGATAGAAACATCAATGATGAGAGAGAATCATTGATTGGCTGCCTCCTGCACACCCCCTACTGGGGATGGAGCCCACAACCCAGGCATGTGCCCTGACCAAATCGTGACCTCCTGGTTCATAGGTCAGCACTCAAACACTAAGCCATAACCTGGGTGCTTGTCCATTCTACTGAGACTAATTAAAACTTACTCATTTATAAAATAATGACCTCATTAAACATATAAAATAAACCTCTTATATGTGGCCCATTTTCCAAGACCATAATATATGTCAGTATGAATGTACACTCTGAATCCCTTTGACTATTCATTCAGTTTGAATTCAATAGCACTTTTGTTTAATTGAAAATTAATTATTCTATAGAAAAGTCACGGGACTCCTATTCAGACAATACTGCTTTATTATTATTACTAGAGGCCCGGTGCACAAAAATTTGTGCACTGGCAGGGGAGTGGTGTCCCTCAGCCCCACTTGTGCCCTCTCACAGTCTGGGACCCCTCGGGAGATAACGACCTGCTGGCTTAGGCCTGCTCCCGGGTTGCAGAGGGCAGACCCAATCCCTAGGTGCCTGCCCTGCAGCCCCTGGTCGGGCTCAGAGCAGGGCCGATTGGGGAGTTGGGGCGCCTGTCATGCACAGAGCAGGGCGGATCGTGCCAGAATCCATTTATTGTCTTCACTAGCTGAGTATAGACAGAGACCCCCAAAAGCTAGTAACCTTTGAACTCCTAACAAAGGTCAGGGCTGTGAACCACCCAGTTAATCTAGAAATCACCCAGCTAATTTAGGTAATGGTAGCTGAAGCATCATCCCCACCTTAGTTCA